TGCATTTCTTGTTTGTGAATATATGTCTGAATAAACTTGTTGATTAAATATGTTTCCTTATCTTTGATGACTTGGAATGACATGTGTTCCATACACACACACACACACACACACACACATATACATTTTGAACTGAACCTGAGGGTGTCTGACCTGCAGCATAATTAGTTGATATGTGATATAAAAGTGGATTTAAATAAGAAAGAAATAGAGAAAGATGAAAGATATGTTACCTTGAAAGTGATAAATTTATGCTATGTTGAGGGATGAAAAAGAGAGAAATTATAATGAGAAATATGAAAGGGTGAAATGATGATAAGAAAAGGAAGGTGATAAGGATAAGTGTGGATAGTTCAGAGATATACTAGCAATGTTGAAGATAGAGACAATTTTAGAAATCCTTGAGAAATGATGGTGGTGGATATTTTTATTTATTTGTGCATAACTAATGAAAGTAAAAGCACTACATGCCTTTCACTCGTTTCCTGACCTAATTTCCTGACCATACTTTTGCTAAAAGATGTTGGGTCGGCACATGTTGTATCCATGTTGTTGTGGCTATCTAACAACTATTTATACTGAAGATGATCTCAAGGTCAGGGGATAGGGAGTGATTGAAATAAGGAATTCAGGAATACTAAAATGTTGATGAAATAAAATCATAGTATTATTGATTATCGTATGTATATTGAATGTATTTGTTATTTTTGATTGATTAGTATGTTGTTCATGTATGTCTGACTTGATATTATGTTTATCATGTCTAGTAATGCAAAAATAGGCTCATCTTTACTAAATATTTTAGCGAAACAAGATGACCACTCCTTAGAGAAATATTATGGTAGAGGAAGGATTTATAATTAATAGGTTACATTTTGTATTTAGAGAATGACATATGTTCTGTTATTGTAAATTTATAATAGATTATAATGATATAGTAGGTAATGTATTTACAATTGAAATAGACATAGATTATAGTATTCCTTTTAGGTACCCTATGCATGGGAGAATTTGACATACACTCAACTTGTACATATATCGAGGAACAGTCCAGACGCAAGGTGTAGTGAATTACTTGTACACCTTTCTTGACCATGACTACATAGGAAGACCTACCCAGTTTACCTTTGAGCAAGTGACTGCATTAAGGTGGTAGTCAATATGAGTGATCTTGGGGAGGACGTGAATATATCTCTAGAGGAGTTAGCTAAGATAGAGGGATGGTTCAAGGTGGAGATAATTGCTCATTGGGATTGATTTATTTTGATATTGTAAATGACATATGAGTCCTAATGTCTTTTGAAATTATGTTTGTAATTATTAAACTCTTGTACATTAATGATGCTAATAAATGTATGTATTTTATTTTGATTTTAGTCTAAATTTATTTGTTTCCTATTGCTTTATTATTGGAAAATTTTATATGTTTAAGTAACAAAGGGGAAGGTTTTAAATTTTTTCAAACTTTGCACTTTAATTATAAGTGAATTTAATTTAATTCATCTTTCCTATATAAAGTTATTTTCTTAAATTGTATAAATAAAATAATGATGTTATAATTTGGTACTAAAGCAATTCTCCCAAATCAGAGTATGAGACTAGTTTTTTGTGTTGTGTACTTTTGTATTCTTATTTAACAAGAATAAGAGTTGATTGATTGTTAGAATAACCTGTTAGGTTCTCCAAATAGGGATTTGTGTGAGTTGTTTGATTTGATTGCATGTGTACTTGTGTGAATGATAGTTGCTAATGAATTTGATTGACTTCTTTCAATTTAGAATCATGGCTAGTAGAGGTAGACCCGTGGAAGTTACAAATAAAATCTTAAACCGCATGACGTAAGTATTATAAGCTCTAGTACAAAATCAGGATGTATACTGGCTGAATATCGAGGATTATCATCGTTCACGAAGTATAATCCTCGAAGGTTTGAAGAAAAATTCAATCCTGAAGGAGCCTAAAGGTGGATTATCGATATAGAAAAGATCTTCGATGCAATGGGCTACTGCAAGGAACATAAAGTGAGTTATGCTACTTACATGCTGAATGGAAAAGCAGAGGACTGGTGGAGGTTCGCCAGGTAAAGTAAGGAGCCCAAAGGTGGATTGCCGATATAGAAAAGATATTCGACGCAATGTGCTACTGCAAGGAACATAAAGTGAGTTATGCTACTTACATGTTGAATGAAGAAGCAGAGGACTGGTGAAGGTTCGCCAGGTAAAGTAAGGAGCCCAAAGGTGGATTGCTGATATAGAAAAGATATTCGACGCAATGTGCTACTGCAAGGAACATAAAGTGAGTTATGCTACTTACATGTTGAATGGAGAAGCAGAGGACTGGTGGAGGTTCGCCAGCTAGACTCTACCTCAAGAAGATAGATATATTTCTTGGGAGATATTCATATCGTTTTCTAGGAAACTACTTTCCAAGAGATCTGCAAAAGCAAAAAGTGAGAGAATTCCTTAAGTTAAAATAAGGAAATATGTCTGTAGAGGAGTATGTTACCAAATTTCATGAGTTAATGAAGTATTGATCTCACTTTCAACATGAGGGCAGTGATGAAGATCTATGTGCTCAATTTGAGAATGAATTGTGAGTTGGCATTCGTATTGTAGTCAATGTATTCCAGGTGACAATTTTTTCAACTTTGTTGAGTAAGTGTCGAGTCTATGATTGATGAACCTACTCAAGCATATCAAAATGAACTAATACCTACTAGAATAAAGGCAACAATTGTTAGACAACCACATTAGTTCAAACAAATTTTGCACCTCCCACTCGACTACGTAAGACTCTAGCCTCTAGCTCTGACACTTTTAGTATTCCCAATGAAGGGCCAAAAAGGAGAAAGATGGACACAACGGGGATAGTTCAACATAAGTGACAATATGCACGTATGTATTTTGTCAAATTTGGAATATGCCTTATGTCTTTTTACTGTTTTTTTTTTGTAGGGGGTTTACATACTTCATCAAATATGGGATGCTGTATTTTGTCCCTTTGCCATCTTTTTTTCTTCTGAACAACGAATAGAACTTACTTCAAGTTATATTAGTTATTTATACTGATATTTTGTGTGCAACATGATTATATCAATGTTTATTTTGAATAATTATGGTACATTATTATTGATTAATGGATATTCGAAATCTTAATCGTAATAAAATAAATCAACAACAAAGTACAAAATAATCTAAGACATCAATATGTGGGAGGAGATTTTTTTCATCAATGAAAAACATTTTGTTTCAAAATTCATCTTATTCAAAATGGAATTACAAACCCTTCACATTTTAGTACCCTAGTACAACTTAGAGGATAATGGTTTGATACTAAATTTTCTACAGAACAAAGCCATAACTAACACATAAATAGGTATATTAATATTCAAAATACAACTTAAAATTTTAATAATTATTTTACTAACTTTAAGAAGTCTTGAAGAAGCAAAATTCTCTTGGTAATACAGATTCATTATCTTTATGCTATTCAAAACATTCACACTTCACCCAACTAAAATAGTATAATAAATTAGTAATAGACACAACCCTTTATTTCTAAATAATTTTTGCTTTAAAAAGCCTTCAAATATGTATGCCAACAACAATCACAACCCTAAAAGTAATATTGGATAAGAAAAAGATATTATGATGAAAAGGATAACTGAGAGAAAAAAATTGAAGCTTAAAGGACTAAAATAAATTATAAAAAAATTAAAAAATAAAATTAAAATTTAACAGAATACTAATTTTGTCTATTTTTTTAAAAACTATTTATAAGACTCTGTAAAACCTTAATTATTCATTCTTAAAAATTTTATATAAAATAGAAGTAATTTTGTTTATTTTTAATTATAAATAATTATATTTTAAAAATTATTTTTTAGAATGTCTAAATTTATCAACATAAAATTTAAAATTTAATAAGATATTTTTATTAATTTTTTTATGTACCACATGTTTAAAAATAAATAATATGTCATTTTAATTCTTGAACTTATACAAAAAAATTAGTTTCCAAAATTATTAGAAATGGATATTTTAATTCTTGGAATTATAGATATTTTTTAATTTAGAGTCTAAAATTATAAAATAAAATTTTTAGTCTCTAAAATTAGAATAATTTAATCCTTTCAACATCTAAAACCCGTTAATTTATTTTGTAAAATTATGACAAATAATTTTTAGTTTATAAAATTATGAAAAAAAATCTTAATCTTCTCTGTTAATTTCTGTCAAATTTGTCGAGCAATGTGTTAGATGAGGCAGGTTAAGTGCCAACATGGTTCTTTGATTTAAAATTTTGTTTGCACGCAAGAGTTTTGCTATTTTTCCAAAAATTCTATTGAAAATTTGGTAAAAAATGGCAACATTTATTAAAAAGAGTATTTGAGTTAAAAAATATCAAATAAGTATTTAGGCGTGCTTTAATAAAAAAAATTTAAATTAAATTAAATTGTGATAGATTTTTTTAATGGAAGAATTTATATAATTTTGAAATAAAAGAGCGGACAGTAAAATATATGTCATTTTTTAAAGGAATAAAATTTAGTTTACTCAAAAAATTATCCATATCAATTCTTCAAAAAAATAAAAAATAAAATTATTTTTAATTTTTTTCTCTAAAATTTGTTCCATCATCTTAATCTTCTTACAAATAGTTTTAAAAATATAATTTTATTATAAACTAAGCTCAACGATTTGGGTACATTTTTCTCTCTTCACTAATAATCATAAGATTGAATTTTATCTAATACAAACAAAACTTTTTTAGAAGATTTTCTAGTGTAAACTAAAATAATAATTTTACTTACAGTTTAGGCCAAAACAATAATCTCAAATAATAATATTAAGATTTTTTATTAATTAGATTTTAACATTTAATAATAATCTTATTCAGATTATTTTAAAAAAATTTAATTATCATAAGAAATGTAAATAATAAATATAACATTGATTCTTAATCATGCACATAATGCTGTTTGTTCCACCAACTATTTTCGTTATACATGGAAGTGTTTTCACCACCACCACAAAAAGACTCGGTAGCAGATGCATAGTAGATAAGAGGAATTGGATTTCATCGACGATCATTATGAATACTTGCACCATTATTATGAATTCCATTAAGGTTCCTTCCCCTTTATTAATAAAGTCTTTTAAAGCATTCCCACCATTCAAATGTCGCAGCAAGAGCTCAGATGAGAGGGGAAGCAATGATGTGAAGGACACGCTATCTGGGATGGTGGACGAGCAAGTTGAAGAGCTCTTGAGCAGAAAAGAGAACAAGGTTTTGTTGGATGGGTTAGAGAAGGCGTCTCAGAGGGTTGAGATGGCTAAGAGAGAACTTGCTTTGATCCAAAAACAAGAAATTTCTGTCAAGCAGTTCAAGGATTACGTCACCCAGATTGAAGACAAAGTTTTAGAGGTAATGATTATTCTTTTTTGCATCAGTTGTCAAACTCTTAGAATGAAAACTTGAAATTAATCACTGCATTTTTTACCAATCTTTCAAGGCACGTGACCAATTTAATGGCAAATAATGCCCTAACTCCTGTGGCTGGAATAGGGTATATTGTCTGTATAGATATGTGTAGTTTCATGAGACCTACTGAAGCCATACAATTTCTAATGAATCTTCTCTAACTCCATCTATAATCTCTGCACTTTTCTTATAAATCAAGAATAAAAACCTTAATATGTATTTCGGCCTAGAAATAGGCTTAACAGAAATATGAAAAAGGCTGCCAACTACCCCAAGTCATGTTTGCCATTGCTGAAAGTTTAGCATTCTATGTCAAATGGCAGTCCAGTACATGACAAAAATGAAAAGTGAGATAGCTTCAACTTATGTACTAAGATGTCAACATTAACCAATACTCTGTTACAATTATAACACAATCATCAATATGAAAAGAAGAAATTGTGAAAGAAGAATATTTCTAGAATATATACTTTTGTTCGAATGAAATAAATGCACATTTTGACAGCAGTGCAACTTAAACCAGTGACCTTCAATTTGAAGAAATCTTTGAACAAAAAGAACATGGTATTTCAACAGGATGAGAAAAACTAGAAATGTGTAAGATGGCCATGCTTCTTAGGATAAATGGCTGGGCCAAATATGAAATAATTGTACGTCCTTATAGGGAGTTGTGCAGAATCGAAGTCATTATAACAAAAAGTTAAGCGGGTTGTTATCTTGTGGCTCACAGGAAGAACGTTTGGAAACCATTTCTGCTAATAATAGTACCGAACTTGTCTCCCCCATTGGTCCATGTTTATCAAGAAAACAGTAAACTATTTAACAAAATTTAAGAATTGCAGAAAACAGTAAACTTTTCAAAAAATTAGAACTGGAGTTCTTTCTGTTTCTGCTAAGTTTTCAGCCTTGATAAAATTAAACCTTGTTTTGAAACATTGGGGAATAGCTGAAGCTATCTTACTATCAGAGGTTAACAGTGATATCTAGTGAAATTCCTTTGGTTCTTCATTAGATGGTTTCTGCATATGAATTTTGTGTAAAAACAAATATACTATGTTAAAAAAATGCTGGCTGGTTGATGTTATAGTGTCTGTTAGGGCTTGATTGATAGTCACAAATACAAAGGTGCTTTTGTGCATGAAATTGGTCATGTGCACGTCAGGTGACATTATTTGTTAAAAGTTTAGCTTTTTCTGTAATAGAGGGTGTGATTTATTTCCCTTTTTAAAAACTAAGGGGCTGATTTACACACATTGAAGCTTGGGGACTGATTTACATATGACCCAAACACCAATGTGGTAATTTATGCTTTTTCCATATTTTATGTGTTCCATAATGCCTTCAAGAGGAGGAAGGGGAATATGGACAAGAATCTCTCTGATCTTATGGGATTTTATTTTTGTGCTTCCTTGTTAAAATTTTGAATCACTTAATAAATCTGTTGGTTTTGCTTTCCCCTACTTCACATATGCATTCTTGGTGAGTTCCTCTTTATCAAAAATACTATTTACCTTGTGATTAAATGTACTTTGCAGTTTACCTTGTGACTTTGACTTGATTTTTTTATAGCTTGATTTGTACTTGAGTCATTACTAACAAAAATTGAGTGATTGTTAGATTGCAGAATGTCAAAAAGAAATATTAGATGCAAATGCCTTGGTTGAAGAAGCTGAACGCTCTTTGTTGCTAAATGTGGAAGGTCGTGAAGATGGGGGTGCATCCATGGGGATGAAAAGTCAAGAAATTGATCAAGATGTAGAGAGATGGGAATCAGTAAAAGCAGCATCAATTTCTGCCGTTGTTGGTACCATTTCAGGGCTCCCCATATGCTTCACTCAGGTCACCAACACAACTCAGCTGCTTCTCCCTTTATCAATCAACTTTATTTGCTGTGCATTATTTGGACTGACTTTTCGATACACTATAAGGAGAAACGTGGATGATGTTCAGCTTAAGACAGGGTTAGCAGCAGCTTTTGGTGTAGTTAAAGGTAATCCACCTTACCGTGCTCACATGTTAAATAGGTTGAAATTTTGCCACGGTATCAATTTAGATAAAATTGTTTGTTTTCTTTATCTTTTCATTTGTGGTCTCAAGTTAAATGCTTTGTTGAAACAGTACAATCTATGTCAGAATTCAATAGAACTCACCAGAATTCTTCACAATCTAAATAAAGTTAACGGTAATACTGAAACAAACTCGCGATGCAGGTCTTGCAACCCTAGGCGGTGGACCACTTCTTGAATTGAACTTCGAAAGTTTCTTATCGCATGCCCAGGATGGGACGATTTATGTATCTGAGAATCTTTTGATGTTTGTTTCAGCTGTTGTTGCTCTAGATTACTGTTTAAAGACAAGGCTTTTGGGCCCTTTTCCAATTGATAGATCATAGCTTAAATTCGAATTAATTTTTTCAGCTATCATAGCAAATGGACATTGATAAATTTGTTGCTATTGTTTCAAATTACTAAATATTAATAGTCCGTTCCATTCCATCAAAAACCTTACTGAGTCTGTTATATCCCAAAAATTTCAATTTTTCTTAGCTATGTTTGAAAAGTTTGATTTCTTCTAGTTTTGCTAGAGCATGTAGGGCGGATTTTCTAAGGAAAACAAACTCTAGTGAGGGGTGAACATCAACCCATAGATGCTAGAACTGCATGGTACTGGTTGAGAGGCAAAATGGTGGATACACAGTTGGGGGGACAACACAGACAGTGGTCCTATGGAAGAGGCACAGGCAAAGGAGTGAGAACTAGAGGGTTTGATGGTGGCATGCTTGACGGACCAGTTGGGTCATCAAAGAAAAGGCCATGGGTAGCTCTAGGCAAGGCACAACGATGCAATTTAGGGGTAGTTCTGTGAAAATTAGTGCTGTTGATTTTAGCAATGTAACACAATAGTTGAATTGAGATGGTCTCACAGCTGAGATTCGATAATGAGGCACCTGGATGATAAAGCTTTCTTTCAAGACCAGTTGAGGCTTACAGTGACCATTGTTGTGAGTAGAGGAGTATCAAAGCATACATGACAAGTATTCTTTCGAGCTAGCTAAGAGTAGAGTGAATTTTTAACTCTTGGATTTTGTTGTGTTAGAAGTAGAGCTAAGTTTGTCTGTATTGCCGAAAGAATTTTGTATTGTGTTGTGTTGTCAGTGTTGAGTGCTCTCATATGGCCTCGTGCATTCATCTCTCGATCTCCTATGTTTTTTCTTGAATCCATGGGGTGCAGTTGGACCCTTGGACTGATAATTTAGTTTTTCTAATAAAAATTCGTACTTTCAATGTTTTATTCAGTTTGGTTGACTTATTAAACCTGTATTCTTACGTGCTTTTCTGCTTCCTGATCAATGTTGAATTAGTTGGAAAGAATCTAGTCTTTGACTATGAATGAAGTTAAATGGAGTTAATGATGCACTTTGTGAGGTTTTTATAGGAAACGGGGTCTGTTTGATGCTATTTTAAACAGCTATAAATTATAAAACTTGGCTACATGCACCGATTACATTGCTTTGAGCAGAATCATGTTCATCACATGAATATTTATAGGTTTGAGATATAAGCTTCGGAAAAAACATTTGTGTATTTGTTATTAGGACCAAACTAAGACTTGGTCGACCTTTCCTTAAAAAATTATGGCTATTTTTCGTAAATGTTGTGATTTATGTGACTGAGAAGTTGATATCTTGATGGTTATCAAACTGTTAACATCTAAACTTGTTTAAAGCAATTTTTTTTGTTAGAAATAATAGGATATTACATTACCTAACGATTTATAAAATTTTAAAAATCAATTTCAGAAATATTTTTTAATTTTCAAAAATTAAATTACAAAAATGATAATAAAATGAGTAATGCAATAGCAAAAACAAACATTACACACACACACATATGTTTTACATTATCTACTTTTTACTATTTCTACCACTCATTTTATTGTCATTTTTAAAAAAATTTAAAACATTTATATATTACTTTTAGATTTCTAAAATCATTTACAAAATAATTCAAAAAATTTAATTTAAAAATTAACTTGATACAGTCAAAAAATTAAAATTTGAAAATAATTTACACATGACTTTTCATAATTCAATTTCTAGAAGGTAAAAAATTTACAGTTTAAAAAAATAATTCTTCAAGTAACAATAAAAAAGTAATACAAATAGAAAAAGAAAGTGAAGTTAATAATTAAGGAACTTGTAATGACAATATAATTGAGAGAATTGATGAATGTTTTTTTTTTTATGTATGTTATTGCATTGTATAGTGTGTGTGTATATATATATATATATATATATATATATATATATATATATATATATATATATATATAAGGCTAGCATTATTCTACAACTCAGTGAATCTTAAAACAACTACAAAAAATTCTAATAGAAAGGTGGCTATTCCTATCCTGTAATAAACTCTAAATCTGTTTGATGGAAAATATACAATGACTCAGCATAACCAACTCTTTATAGAAGAGATGAGTTGTGCACAAGAATAAGAAAGGAAATATATCATAAATTCATTAAATAAGACCCTGATGGTATGCAATACATATTGGGCTTCAAGGTGACCCTTCATCCTTGCTATTACTCAGCATAACCAACTCTTTATAGAAGAGATGAGTTGTGCACAAGAATAAGAAAGGAAATATATCATAAATTCATCAAATAAGACCCTGATGGTATGCGATACATATTGGGCTTCAAGGTGACCCTTCATCCTTGCTATTGGGCTCATTTGTGTTGGTCTGCTTTTCTAATATCCCTCCCCACCAAGCTAGAGGTGGTTGAAAAATGTCAACTAACCCTAACTTGGAAAGAATATCACCAAAAGGCCTTGGTAAGAGGGCCTTTGTAAACACATCAGCAAATTACCCTTTGAAAGAGATTGGTAGCAGTTTCATAAGCCCTGTTGGAACCTTCTCCCGAACCAAATGGTAGTTGATATCAAGGTGCTTCGTATGCTCATGAAAAATTGGATTCACTGCTAGGTGTAAAGCACTTTAGTTGTCACAGTACAATGCAACAGACTTAGAATAAGAAATCTTCAAGTCTTGTAGCAGATAAGTGAGTTACTGTAGTTCACATGTAGTTAAGGCAAAGGCCCTATATTCAACCTCAGAAGAAGATCAAGAAATTGTGGTTTGTTTCTTTATTTTCTAGGAAATAAGAGATTTTCTAAGAAAAAAATAATATCCTATGACTGATTTTCTAGATTCAAGGAAACCCCACAGCTAGCATCACTGAAGCTAAGAAGCTGAATAGGAGACCAGATTGGAAGTTTCCCTTTGAGTTGATGTGTGACGCCTCTGACTTTGCACTTGGAGCTGTATTATCTCAGAGAGTTGGTAAATTTTCACATGTTATTGCTTATGCCTCTAGAATTCTTGATGTAGCTCAGATAAATTATACCACCACTAACAAGGAGCTGCTAGCTATTGTATTTGCATTAGATAAATTTCATTCTTATCTGCTTCGCTCCAAAATAACTATCTTTACAAATCATGACCATGAGTTTCAGGATATTCTGCATTTTTGTCATGACACATCTGTAGGAAGCCATTTTGGACCGCAGAGGACAGCCAGGAGAGTATTGGACAATGAATTTTCTTGGCCCACCATATTCAGGGATGCAACTAGGTTTTCTGAGAGTTGTGAGGTATGTCAGAAGGCAGGAGGGACTATCACTAGGAGGAATGAGATGCCTCAGCAGTCCATTATTTTTTGTGATTTTATGGGTCATTTTCCTGTTCCTGCTGGATATTCTTACATCTTACTTGTTGATTATGTGTCCAGATAGGTAGAAGTAAAGGCCAATATAACTAACGATTCTAAAGTTGTTTCAGATTTTCTCCGTACTCATATATTTTGCAGGTTCGGTGTGCCTAAGGCTGTCATCAATTATTAGGGAAGTCACTTTTGTAACAGGAACATAGCAGCATTGTTCCAGAAGTATGGGGTTACACACAGAGTTGTTATACCATATCATCCTCAAACTAATGGGCAAGTTGAGGTATTCAACAGGGAAGTCAAGCACCTGTTGCAGAAGTTGGTGCACCCTAACAGGAAGGACTAGATGAAGCTACTAGTAGGACTTTTAAGGTCAATGGTCATCAGCTAAAACTATTCCAGGAGAGCAAACCAGTGGAGTTGGCTTAAAACATAGTTGATTTATCCTTAGTAGAGCCTACTTTGATGGAGGATGTGTCTACATAGGCACTTGGGGCATTGTTTTCTTTGACTTTTGTTTCTTTTCCTTATACTTTCCTTTACCTTTTCTTGCATATGTTTTGCATTTTCTATTTTTCTTGGACTTCTTGCATATGTTTTACATTTTCTATTTCTTTTTCCCACATTATGGACAATGTTTGATTCAAGTATGGGGGGAGTGTGCCTTAGCATATTTTTCATTGGATTCCTTTGATTTTAGATTTCATTTGTGTGAGCAACTTTTTATTTGTCATTCTTAGTTGAGAGTTCCATAACATGAAGGAATTGTTTCATGCATTTGAGTTTAGCTGGTTTTTCATGATAATTAGATTTTAGATCAATTATTGGTAGAATAATTACCTTAGTAAGATTTGAGCTTATTTTCTTTCTTGTGTGATTCACTCATGTTTGTAAGTACTCCAGAACTTGACTTGACTCTTTTTGAGATTATTTGTTCACATGCACTGTTGATATGATTTAGGCCTTCTTTCACATTTTAGCTACTTAGCCAAATTGACTCACCTTGCATTTATTTCACTTGTTTACCCCTTTGAGCCTTATTAATCCTTTCTTGATGATTTTGTAGCTCATTACAAGCCATGTGACCTGAAAAACTATGATTCACCTAACTTTGGAGATTAGATGAGCTTTGGAATTGTTTTGGGAGTTGGTTAAAAATAAGTGTAGGGGTATTATGTTATATTGTGCTTAGTTTGGAAATTTTGATGCATTATTAGTCACTGGAGCAATAGCATTCAAAAAAGAAAAAAGAAAAAAGAAAAAAGAAAAAAAGAAAAAAAGAAAAAAAACGAAAAAAACAACTGAATTTTAGTGTTGAGTTTTTGGTACTTTTCTACTTGTTTTTAACCTATTCCCTATTACTCTTCTTTCTTTTGATTTTTTTTTTTTAGCTTTGTATACTTTCTTTTACCCCACCTTCTCCCTAGCCTCATTACAAGCCTAATAAAAGTCCTATTGATCTTTTGATGCATGTGTTTCAAATAGTTAAAATTAGAGACTCTTCAAGCCTATGGTTGTACTTACTTTCATGATGTGCTTTGAGTGAAAATGTTAACCTATACACTTGAGAGAATGAGTAATACACATACCTTTGAGAGAATTTTTGCCAATTGTGATCCATGATTTAGTTAGATTGAAGTTCTTCTTTACTTTTATGTTTGGAACATATTCTTGATTATTTTTTATTCTTTCATACTTTGATTGATGAGTTCATTTTCCCTCTTGCTCACACCACTTTCACTTTAAGATCCATTGAAAAATTTTGCTTTGTTTGGTTTTGTCTTGTTGATTTTTTTCTTCCTTTTGCTTGGGAGTGCAACAGCGTAAGTGTGGGGGTATTTGATGACTCATATTTTGTACTCACATTTATAGCTTTATTGCATCTTCCAAAATATCTTTCTCTCTTTATTTATTTCATTTAGCATGTTTTTTCATTTTTTGCATTAAATTGGAGTTTTCATAAATACTTATTATTTTTACCTTATATTTCATAGTTTTGCTATTCTAACCTTTGTCCACTATTTTGGCCATAACTTTTTCTATAAATCTCCTTTTTGGCTGATTCTTTTTGCAATGAATTCCTCATTTTCTGGGCTTTAATTTAGACATATGGATCATGCTGTTTGGAGCTTGGACCTATTTTTTTATTAATTTTTGAAGATCAGACTTAAAACATACCTTTTATATTTAGGGTTTTTATTTAGGGCTTTTAATTTTATTTACTTGCGGTGGCCTTGGCCCATTTATTTTTGTTTTCATTTAAGACCAATATATATAGGGGTCAAAAGGTTGATTTTGAACCCTTCTTCTTATCCTTTTAATAATTTTGTTTTTCTGTAAAGACACTTTCCCATTTTTGAGAATAAATTTGTTTCGTTCCATTCGCTTGTGCTTTTCGGATCCTGCTGTGCTCTTAATTATTTGGAGTCGCGAATCATCTCGTCTCAAGCGTGGATTGCTAGATCAATTGAGCGCTCTGAGTTTGTCGTTTTACCTTCTCGCAATTCTTGATTAAGATTTGTGCATGCATAATTTGATTGAATTTGATTTTTGTTCTTGAATGTAATATCAATCGATTGTTTTCTATT